GAAAATACTGCCCCTGCCTTTGTCTCGGATCTCATGAACTTTCAACTCGGTCACTTCAATTCATCGGACAAGCCCCCTTTCATCACTTCAAATGTCTCCTCAACAGAATCTGTAAATGCCCTCGCAGATATTTCTTCACTAGATTTTTCAGGTGTGACTAATTTCAACCGCAACAACACCCATAACAATGCCCATAAAGACCCATTCAAGAAATTCATCTCCATCACGTATGAGGGTTTAGAGGAATCTACAAACCCATAAGCAATAACACTCCTCCTCACTTGGACGCAGTATCCTCAACGATGGATACAAAAAAGCAAAGGCGATGACTACACACCAAAATACAGTCTTCTCATCAATGACTTTGTCAAGGATTACGATACCCTGCTATGCGATGATATCACTGTTGAAATCACTAGATAGATTGTTTGTTTTATTATTGTATTCTTGTTGTATTGTACAATCATGTATTTTATCAGTGTAATTTATACGAATTTTGACACAGCATCTTCTCTCATGACTACGCTATAGCTGTATTGTTCACAATAGGTTAGTGGTAGAGAAGCAAATTCTTTTGAGTTTAACAATGACATCCCAGTGACCATCAGCTGAAAGCCTAATTTCTTTTTAAAATCTAGCATTGTATTAGCCACTGGTCAGTTTTGGTAGAAGATTAATCAGGGATATGTATCAAACGCAGCTGGCAGATGCTGCAATTGTATATTGTTGATAAATCCAGACTCTGCACTTGCAAAATTTCGATAAACGCGCCTCTATCACATAGCATGTGTACAAGACCCTTGTATGCTTTGAGTTCATTGAGGGGTCCACTTTCACTTAAGAAAGCTTTCTGAAAAAAGTGCTTAATACTCCAGAAGCATCTGCTACTGTTTTACGACTTGCATCCGCCAGACTTCCCCGCATCTGAGATTCATTAGCTGCTCATACAGGCATACCTCGCTCAAAAGCGTCGAGCTAATGAAAGAATTAACGTGATAGTATACATCAGTGGGCTTTATGGAGCTTACCCATGTATTTTTACTATACATTTTTGTATGTATTCTGGGTTATAATCGTCCTAGTACACTAAACAAGATGACGTTTTGTAGAAAATGACAAATCATGCTAAATCCAATCATCAATGCATCAAATTAAAGCGAAAGCCTAGGAAAGTCTAAAATTGTATTTATTTCTAACCTAAATCGTTGCATCTTCTAGTAATCGAGCTGGTCGAGGAGATCCGCACCTACCAAATTCGGAAATAAGAGCAGAAATTATAGTTATAATACTTTATATCTAAATCTATAATAAAAATACTTGAATCAGCTCAAAGCTACCTAACTTCTGCTATCGCTGAAATTGCGTC